GCTAAGTTGTGGAATAATCCTGGTACTTCATCACGAGTTCTTTCATAATGATGCTAAGTTGTGGAATAATCCTGGTACTTCATCGCAAGATGTTTTATAATGATGCTAAGTTGTGGAATAATCCTAGTGCTTCATCACGAGATGTTTCATAATGATGCTAAGTTGTGCAACAATCCTGGTACTTCATTACTAGATGTTCCCTAATTATTTTAATTTTTGGGAAGATCTAGTTTATTGGTTTATTTAACTAACAAAATCCCTGTGTTACCTTATGAAAACAGAATTAAAGCATCAGTGGTTATTTTACAATCTGGAAATAGTGTTATTTTAAATACGAAGTACCTTTTTGGTTTTCATCGTATACTTGATGAATTTGTTTTAACAGTCTATTGGATGGTTAAGTTTATTTTAATAGACAGTTGGGTAAGATAAGTTTTTAATAAACAGTTTGGTAAGTTAAGTTTGTTTTAATAGACTGTTGGGCAGGTTAGGTTTGTTCTAGCAGACTGTTGGGCTAGTTATGTTTGTTCTAGCAGACTGTTGGGCTAGATTAAGTATGTATTAATAGACTGTTGGGTAGGTTGGATTTGTTTAAAAACTGTTGGGTTTTGTTTGTTCTAGCAGACAGTTGGATAGGTTAAGTTTGTTTTAACAGACTGTTGGGCTGGTTAAATTTGTTTTAATAGACTGCTGGGCTGGTTAAGTTTGTTTTAATAGACTGTTGGGCTGGTTAAGCTGATTAAGTTTGTTTTAATAGACTGTTGGGCTGATTAAGTTTGTTTTAATAGACTGCTGGGCTAGTTAAGTTTGTTTTAATAGTTTTAATAGTTAAGTTTGTTCTAGCAGACTGTTGGGCTAGTTATGTTTGTTCCAGCAGACTGTTGGGCTAGTTAAGTTTGTTTTAATAGACTGCGGGCTAGTTAAGTTTGTTTTAATAGACTGTTGGGCTGGTTAGGTGTGTTTAATAGGCTGTTGGGTAGGGCAGATTTCTCTCGAATAAGGCTAGGTTGGATTTGTTCCAATAAACTTTTGTAGGTTAGATTTGTCCTTATAGATCCATGACAGACGCCAAATCAGATTGGTCTTGAACTAATCTTTTTGTTGCTCACATGTTCATGACTTTGTCGACTTTTGCTAAATTTATTAGAACATTTTAAAAATATATATATATTTTTAGAGGAAAGTTTTCATTACTGACTGATGTTCAGTAGTAGTAAAATAACACAGACATACACAGTTAACTTTAGAGAAATTGTAGAATGCACAATGTATTTTAACTGATAAGATATTAACAAACTGTTTATCATATTTAATGTCTTTCAGTTAATATTCCATCTTGATTGAACAAAACAACTCCATTCGTTCTTGTATACGTTAAGTAGTGGAGATTTTAAAATATCGCAGGTTTCATATCGATATTACATTAACTATCAGGTTTGTTTTTCTGACGAGCTTTGAACAACTGTCTTATAAGTTGGCCTTGTTGATGTTTGTCCCTTATTAAACTCCCACCCTTCACTATAAATGATATCTAAAACACCTGATTCAAGTCCCTCACCTTCTTACGTCCACAACACAGCATATTTGTTGGGAGTACAAAGTGCATTAACTTTGCTTTGTATCGTCCTCGTGGCGCTGGCGACTTCATGGATGCTGGAATATTGTTTCAGTTCACTCCAGACGGCGCATCTAGAGAATACCAAGAAAAATCAGGTTCTTATCGATTACTAAGTCCCCAAAAGTGCTTCTCTGCTATACGGCAAACACGTTACATCTTAAGAAATTCGTAATTATCAGGAATAAGAAAAGAAAAAATATTCTAAATAATGAATGGATTTTACCATCCAAAGAATACAATTTTTTGAGACAAAATACAACTACACGATACAC